TGAGAAGCCAAGTTACAGGGAACCAGGCAGAGGGCCTTCTCGGTAGTGGCGCCCGCCCTGTGGAATGCCCTCCCACCAGATGTCAAAGAGAACAACAACTACCAGACTTTTAGAAGACATCTGAAGGCAGCCCTGTTTAGGGAAGCTTTCAATGTTTGGTGTATTACAGTATTTTGATATTTTGTTGGAAGCCACCCAGAGTGGCTGGGGAAGCCCAGTCAGATGGGCGGGGTATAAATAATATATATATATATTTTTAAAAAATGTCTCAACAAATGAAACTGATCTGTAAAAAATATTACTTGTGGGGAAAAAGAGAGAGAGACATTGCACATACTTTTGTAAACCAAGAAAATCTTTAATAAAAATACATTTTTAAAAAAACCTTACTGCTGCCTAGCGCTAAATTTCTCTTTTGCCAATGAAACTAACCATCACCTGTTCATAGCCATGCTGGAGAAGTCCTTTGTACGAATGCAATGAGAAAGGGGTGTGAGGTTGACCAGGCCTTTGTGTGAAGAGTTCTCCCAGGTAGAACATTTTTTTCCTGTTGCTCTGCTCCTAACCATTGTTTGTCTAGATTGTGTGGGATAACCAGCCTCATTTAATCAACATGCTTAAGTCTAATGAATGCATGAAGGGGTTAATATCATAGGTCAAACTGTCCTGCCAAGCTTAGCTAGGTTGCTCCCTCTCACCTTGGGAGGAAAATAATCATGCTTATTCTTTCCTTCTCAATCTACCTGAGAAGCACATGACTCTCGCAAGCCACTCTTGAATTCTATGCCAATAATTTAGGCACCATCACCAATGTGACTAAGTCAAGTTTTACAGACTGTGCAACTTTTTTGAATGCTGTATGGAAAAGCACATGAATCGGACCTTTGAAGAATCTGTAAGTAAACCAATTTTCAACTTACCAAACGTGTGCTCTTTTCCTATGCTGGGGAAAGAGGGAAATTCAGAACTCACAAGGGCATATTTTAAAGATCTAACAGCCTATATCCCCACACTTTGCTTTGCTGCATGTTATCCGATTTTAAATCTCTGCTGGGATTCTCTCACCTACCTGAATCTTGGCATGCAGGAAATTCTCCTTTTATACCTATATTTTCCTTGCACCGACAGATTGGTCACAGCTTTTTTGAAGCCACTGGGCACATTAAACTCACAGAATTAAAGTTGTTTTCTTGAGTAGACCAATGCCTTAGAGCTGATGCAATTAAAAGGAGCAGAGAGAGATGAAAAATCCTTTAAATTCTGTGCATGTTATTAAAATGTGACCAGCAATAGTGCGTAACACTGTGTCCTGTTAAACAGGCCACTTGGGGGAGCACAACATGCCAGTATAATGGAAACTGCAAGAAACATCAGCTAAGGCTAGTCTGCAAATAGGAAGTCATGGAGGGTGGGGATGTTGCAATGGCTGAATTAGTCATGCAAAATATGGGTGAATCACTTTCCCCTCTGAGCGCTACTCCTCAGGGCTGGGCACCTCTGCTATGTCACAAGAAACCCTTCAGTCTTTAGCTATTACATCAGCTTCTGCAGCATATCCGATCATCTAAGCAGGACTTGCACAGAAAATCCTCCCACTGATGCTTTTGGATTTTCTTTCTCAGGATTGCCTTTTGGTGTTTTCCCTCTGCCTTCTGCTGCTGAAAACTGAGCTGACATACTAGGTCCGTCTAATAAAAACAGAGAACCATAGCCTACAGGTGGTGCCCGGCCTGCCCTTTCTAAGCCACACAAAGGGGCCCATTGTGATGCTGGAACACTTCCATGGAGCGGGTGAATCGCAACGCTCTCTTCATTCAGAAAAAGCTGGCATCCTTACACGGGTTAGGGTGCCAATATAATGCAAGTGGAACATTTGGATGAGAGGGCAGCATTCTTGAAGTGGCACGGAGTAGAGGCTAGAGATCAAGGGAATCCACATTGGCCTAGGAAAGGTAGTTGAACAAGTCTGTTCTGGTGGAAGCCGGCAGCAAACATGTAAGATGGCTTTCTCTAAGTGTTTGTTTCTTCGGCAGTTGCCTGTGGCTTTCTCTAAGTGTTTGTTTCTTCGGCAGTTGCCTGGGAACAGCACCTGTTTGGCAGGTTAACTTCCCCAGGTTATAACAGCCAAACTTATTCCAACTGAGGCACCTTTTAAAGACACTCAGCTTTGGGCAGTTCTAAAACATAGGGAGACACTTTTAAGCAGCAACAGACCAGGGCCGCCTTTCACACATGCGCCACCGGGGTGCAAAGATCCGCCCAGTGCCCCCAAATTTAGTTCAGGTAAAGGGACCCCTGACCATTAGGTCCAGTTGTGGCTGAATCTGGGGTTGTGGTGCTCATCTTGCTTTATTGGCTGAGGGAGCCGGCGTACAGCTTCCGGGTCATGTGGCCAGCATGACTAAGCCGCTTCTGACGAACCAAAGCAGCGCACGGAAACGCCGTTTACCTTCCTGGCGGAGCGGTACCTATTTATCTACTTGCACTGGCGTGCTTTCAAACTGCTAGGTTGGCAGGAGCAGGGACTGAGCAATGGGAACTCACCCCGTTGCAGGGATTTGAACTGCCGACCTTCTGATTGGCAAGTTCTAGGCTCTGTGGTTTAACCCACCCGTGTCCCTTCCCTAAATTTTAGCTTAGCCGCCCCCAAATTAACTTCTACAGTGGTACCTCAGGTTATAGACGCTTCAGGTTACAGACTCCGCTAACCCAGAAATAGTACCTCGGGTTAATAACGTTGCTTCAGGATGAGAACATAAATCACGCAGCAGCGGCACAGCGGCAGCAGGAGGCCCCATTAGCTAAAGTGGTACCCCAGGTTAAGAACAGTTTCAGGTTAAGAATGGACTTCCAGAACGAATTAAGTTCTTAACCCGAGGTACCACTGTATTGAGCTTTTTTGGGGAGGAAGGAAACCAAAGTTGTTGATCTATTTATCTATTTTTAGGGGGGGAGCAAACTCCAAGTTGTTGAGCTTTTGGGCGGGGGTTGCTCACCTGACACAGCAGAAAAGACTGCTTTTGTTTCCTTACTCGGGAATATTTGACACTACGGAGTAACAGAGCGACGGAGGAGGGGGCGGGGACTTTCACTCCATTGCTTTGCACTGCCGCCAATCAAGAGGGACTGGTATACAGTAGGTATACATTTGGCGCCCTCCAGAATTTGGCCCCTTGCACCCCTGGGTAAAGGCGGCCCTGCAACAGACATAGGTACAATCAAGGCAGGTCCACCCCACACCTACCATGTCAACTCACCAAAGCATTATTTTTCCATTTCAGAAGAATGAAATGACAGCCATTGAGCTGCAGTATATGGTAGAAAGTAATGGAATATACACTGTATTTCTCTTGCCTAGACTGTGTTGGATCTTGCTGCAGTCTTGTACGGGAGAAAGTGAATGGGCACTAATGAAAACGACGGAGAATGGAGTCTATTTTGTGTAGCAGCCCACTCCATTTCTTAGTCACACTAGAGTAGGACAGAAGCATAGGGACAAGTTCAATGTAGATTAAAATGCCTTTTTTTAAAAAATTGAGATTTTCAATTTTATACATTTCAATAATTTTATAATCATTTTAAAATCTCAAAACTTTACTTCCTTCCCCCTCTTTCTGAATATTCGAATTAACTTTATTTTCTCATTTATTCATCTACTTTAAATATATACTCTTATAAAACTGCAAGTTATTACAAGAATCCTGCCAGTGTTCTTATCTGTTTGCAGTTTATTTGTAAATATTCCATAAACCATTTCCATTCTTTTATTAAAAAGTCTGTTGTCTTGATTGACTATTTTTCGAGCGAGTTTTGCCATTTCTGCATATTCCATAATGGGTAGGCAAACTAAGGCCCAGGGGCCGGATCCGGTCCAATTGGCTTCTAAATCCAGCCCACGGACGATCCGGGAACCAGCGTGTTTTTACATGAGAAGAATGTGTGCTTTTATTTAAAATGCATCTCTGGGTTATTTGTGGGGCATAGGAATTTGTTCATTCTTTTTTTCAAAATATAGTCCGGCCCCCCAAAAGGTCTGAGGGACAGTGGACTGCTGAAAAGGTTTGCTGACCCCTGCCTTCCAGGGACAGTCGTCCCCACCCAGGAACACAATCCGACGGGGCAGCGATCCACATCCTGTGTTCCTACAAATGAGAGTGTGTGCCAAGGGCTTAGAATTTCTCTTGCTTAACCTCTATTAAAGGGAAGCAACAGAGTTTGGGCTCCTACCTACTGTTCCCCAGCTGTCTCATTGAACAATTCTTCTGCCTCCCAAACAGTGGTGTAGTGTGGGTTGTCAGCACCCGGGGCAAGGCAAGTAATTTGCGCCCCCTAACCCGTGGATTTTAGCACTGATTTTAGCACTGCGAGTGCGAGCGCCCCCCCCCCAGATGTTGTGCCCGGTGCGGCCGGCCCCCCCTGCACCCCCACGCTACGCCACTGCTCCCAAAGAGTCCCACAGGTAGTGCTTACCTCACAGGTTCAAATACACCTTTCGAAGAATAACTTCTCTGTGCTTTATAAATGAAGGCCAAACTCTGCACCCCCCTGCTAATTTCCCCCTTGCGCTGCCACAGAAATGCAACAGGATACAAACTGTTCTGGATATCTTAATCAGTTATTGGCGGTATTCTTCCAATGTGCAACCCAACTAAGTAGCAATTGATGCAGAGTAAGGATCTTATTGTCTGTGTAATCAACTAGGAGCTCCCAACGAATTACTCATATTGGACAGGTAGTGAAAACAAGGAAGGGAAGCCTGTTCTACTAACTGAACCTGTAGCCCCTGAACCTGTTTGTCCCACACCCTGAGAGTTTCCTCACCCTTCTTTTGCTGTAGGCTATTCCAACCCCCATATCCACATGCGTGTGAAATGGAACCACCCCAAAACCAGGTCATAGTCCTATTGGTTCCTAGCAGTGGTGGCACGAAATGGAGCTCATCAGTTCTGTGGATTTCTGTCGAAAGGGCTTGAGGGGAAATTATTTTTTCATTCTTTATTAAATTTATACACCGCCTTTCATTTGAAGGTCTTGGGGAGGTTCACAAGAAAACAAATACAGGGTAAAAGGACAAAGCAAACAGTTAAAACAAAGCCCAAAACAAAACAATGCCCTCTACTCCCAGAAACACATTTAAAAGGCCGTAAGAACAGGCATAGGCAAATTCGGCCCTCCAGATGTTTTGGGACTACAAGTCCCATCATCCCTAACCACTGGTCCTGTTAGCTAGGGATGATGGGAGTTGTAGTTCCAAAAACATCTGGAGGGCCGTGTTTGCCTATGCCTGCCGTAGAATATAAATTAGCCTGGTTGAAGAGGAACATTTTTTGCCTGGCGCCTAAAGGTGTACACAATGAAGGCAGCAGACAAACCTCCCTGGGGAGAGCATTCCACAAACAGGGAGCCGCTGCAGAAAAGGCCCTACATCATGCTGCTACTCTCCAAACCTCTCGTGGAGGCGGCACATGAAGAAGGGTCTCAGATGATGAATGGAGAGTCCAAGTCAGTTTATATGGGGATCAGGCGCTCCTGAGCTGGGAAAGAGGTGCTTGTGTGTGGTGGGGGGAGACACTTAATGCTTGACTAGGTGATCCTTAGGGTCTCTTCCAACTTCAGTTCTATGACCTTCCGGGATTTTGGCATCCTAAGTGTTCCAGGTTTTTGCAAGAACACAAATGAAGGCCGCTTCCAAGCCACAAGGCTGAAACCAATCGGGCATCATAGTTGGAACTGCACCAACCTCTCCCATTTCTCTTTTCTTGCACATGACTCTGCATTGCTGGTGGCTGACTGGATGGTCCTAGGAGTGGGGAAGCCCCCCAACAGTACCTGTTCAATTATTCACATTAGCCCGTTATTGTTATTCAGTAGTTTATTATGGAGACATAACTGCTTTGACAGCAAACACTCAAAAGGGGGACTACATTTCACCCTAAAGGACAGAGCCCCACCCCCTCAAACCAACCCCCCCTGAGTTCCATTCATCTTTTCTTTAAGCCCAGCATGGATGGAAAAAAAACAATGCGAGTTACGAGTTAGTGCATACTCATCTCTGAAAACAAAAAAACTCACATGATCACAGAACACTAAGGACAGACATTGCAGCAGGAAAGGTGCCTTGGAGGGTGGGCAGAGAGGAAAGAAGGGATGTGGGAGTCAGCTGAGAAAATATAGTGCTTTATAGCTAGACATATTACCCACTTACTGCCATTCCCGAACACGACTCTGAAGCCTCTACCCCGTCACCAATTCTGCAGCCATCACTCCCTTTTAAACATTTGCAATGGGTAGGCGGGAAGGACTTAAATTCACAACTCTTTTAATTGCTTTAGGTTGGGCTGGAGCAGGGATGGGGAAACGGCGGCCCGCCAGACATTGCTGGACTCGCAACTCCCATCGACCCTAGCCGGCATGGCCAATGGTCAGGAAAGATGGGAGGTGAAGTCCAACAGCAGCTGGAAGGCCGTTGGCTCCCCAGCCCTGGCCTAGAACGCTCAAGTCTATGCCAGCGCAAGCAGTATGGTCCATTGGTTCAGAAGACTGGTGGGAAGAAGGAGGAGTCATGGGGGAAGGAGAAGGAGGAACTCTTCATGCTACTTCTTCTTCTGCCTCCTCTTCAAACTCCCCTTCTTCAGCAGTAGCATCTTGGTACTGCTGGTACTCGGAGACCAGGTCGTTCATGTTGCTCTCGGCCTCTGTGAACTCCATCTCATCCATGCCCTCGCCTGTGTACCAGTGGAGGAAAGCCTTGCGGCGGAACATGGCTGTGAACTGCTCAGAGATGCGCTTGAAGAGCTCTTGGATGGCCGTGCTGTTGCCGATGAAGGTGGCGGCCATCTTGAGGCCGCGGGGCGGGATGTCGCAAACCGCCGTCTTGACGTTGTTGGGGATCCATTCCACAAAATAGCTGCTGTTCTTATTCTGGACGTTCAGCATCTGCTCGTCCACCTCCTTCATGGACATCCTGCCACGGAAGACGGCCGCGACCGTTAGGTAGCGCCCGTGGCGTGGGTCGCAAGCTGCCATCATGTTCTTTGCGTCAAACATCTGCTGCGTGAGCTCGGGCACGGTCAAGGCCCGGTACTGCTGGCTGCCGCGGCTGGTCAGGGGGGCGAAACCGGGCATGAAGAAATGGAGGCGAGGGAAGGGCACCATGTTGACGGCCAACTTGCGGAGGTCAGCGTTGAGCTGGCCGGGGAAACGGAGGCAGGTGGTGACGCCGCTCATGGTGGCGGACACCAAGTGGTTGAGGTCTCCGTAAGTGGGAGTGGTGAGCTTTAGGGTACGGAAGCAGATGTCATACAGAGCCTCATTGTCAATGCAGTAGGTCTCGTCTGTGTTCTCCACCAACTGGTGGACTGAGAGAGTGGCGTTGTAAGGCTCCACCACTGTGTCCGAAACCTTGGGTGATGGCACCACGCTGAAGGTGTTCATGATACGGTCGGGGTATTCCTCGCGGATCTTGCTGATCAGGAGGGTCCCCATCCCTGATCCGGTGCCCCCGCCTAGTGAGTGGGTGAGCTGGAACCCCTGGAGACAGTCACAGCTCTCGGCTTCCTTCCTGACCACATCTAGGACAGAGTCCACCAGCTCAGCTCCTTCCGTGTAGTGGCCTTTGGCCCAGTTATTCCCAGCACCACTTTGACCTGAGCAGCAAGGAGAAAGTCGGGAGTGGGGGGTTAAAGGTCATCACCTCGTTACTGGCCTCTTCTGAACAATATGGTCTCTTTTAAGAAGGCAAACCATTCGACTCTTATTACTAAACTGAAAACTATGGAGAGATCTGGTCTGGATAGAGATATTGGATTCATGTCTCATTACACATGCTAAAGCTATTTCAGTCATCTGCATACTATCCCTTGCTTTTTCCTGTAGGACTAACTGCAGTCGTTATCAGTCGTCAACAGGTTTACCATACCCATTGAGCCAATCACCCATCTCCTACTATCCTTCTTAGAAATATCCCACCCCACCTTCCCACTATATATAAGGGTCTGGTGACTTCTGTTTCAGGGTATCTGAAGAAGTGTGCATGCACACGAAAGCTTATACACAGAGCAAACTTAGTTGGTCTCTGAGGTGCTACTGGACATTCATTCATTCATTTATTTATTTATTTCAACTTCATCAGACCAACATGGCTACCTACCTGTATTCATTTGACTCTTTGTTTTACATTGCCCCCTGAATAATGACCCAAAGAGGTGCCCACATTCATGGGGAACAAAAACACTTCAGAACTCACCTCTCATTCCCATTATTTCAGCTTGGCCCAAAGATTACAGACCACTCCTGTCACCTTTGGGTGACATACCTGAAGCCTCAATGTAAGGTAGTATTCAGGTAACTTAACAGTTGCAATCCTTACCATGTCTACTAAGATATAGTCCTACTGAATTCAATGCAGCTTACTCCCAGGTAAGTGGAGTTAGGATTGCAGTCTAAAGTGTCAAAGCCATCCTTTCCAAGCTCCCAGGGACCACTAATAACTGTTGTGTAAGTACATTACGTAACAGTTTGTGCATACAGATCTAGTTTTGATGAGAAATCTCCACCATAATTTAAGTAGTGGGTTCCTAGCCCTTATGTTTTGGAGAACTGCAGGGAGCTTACGTAAAACATTCCTGTACTTAGGGTGTGGTGTTTTCGTGCCCTGCATGACTAACTGCTCCTTCGTGGCTTCCTATCATTTGCTTTTGCTAAGAATAATTATCTCTTGCAAAACGTAAGAACCTTAAAAAAAACAAAAACCTGCTGCTTTAGAATTACATTTACAGAACTAGGACCTAAGCCAAATAAGAGTTCGTGCACAAAACATTGATCTCCTTATTCTCCACAAGAATCTTTTTTAACTGCAAAGAACCTTTCCCTCGAATAATCCTCATGCCCAAATGTTGCTATTTCAACCTCCCTTACCCCACTGATTTACATTATATCTGACCATCTGTACATCACAGGAGCTGGTAGGTGTAATAAAAGCTGACTTTCTGCATCATAGAACGCTGTTGCTATTCCCCAGTTTCCCAACCCAACCCTTCCCCAAGCTGCAAGCTCTCCATTCTGGAACATTCCTCCTCCTCCCCACAATGTAAACCAGGTCAAACTTCCAGGTTTTGCATGTGTCAAGTAAGGAGGGAGCAGCTTCCGTCAGCACACTCAGAACATACATGCCTGTGCTTGTGGAAGAAAAAGTAGTACAGAGATAGCCAAAAGCGGTTGCTAGCTCATTCTGGCTCTTTCCTCCAGGCCTCTCTCTTGGCCTCCCCCTCTCTCTCTCTCTCTCACTCACTCACACACACACACACACACACACACACACACAATGGGGGCAATTTAATTAAGAATTGCTTTTGCATAATGCATGCTACATCAAGCAACTGCCGTTTTTAACTTGGGACATAGCAAACAAGGTTATTCCTGCTAGCAGAAGGCACCCTGGGCATGAGCAGTTCCCCCCAAAGGTTGAATTGGTGCCACTTTGGGCTTTTTCATTTGGTGCCAGGTATCGTGACATGAAACTAATTCATGTGTACAGTGGTACCTCGCAAGACGAAAAACTCGCTAGACGAAAGGGTTTTTTGTTTTTTGAGCTGCTTCGCAAGACGAATTTCCCTATGGGCTTGCTTTGCAAGACGGAAACGTCTTGCAAGTTTGTTTCCTTTTTCTTAACACCGTTAATACAGTTGCGACTTGACTTCGACGAGCAACTCATAGAACGCGGTGTGGTAGCCTTTATTGAGGTTTTTAAAGACTTTGGTGATTTTTGAAGCTTTTCCAAAACTTTCCCGACACCGTGCTTCGCAAGACGAAAAAAATCGCAAGACAACAAAACTCGCGGAACGAATTAATTTCGTCTTGCGAGGCACCACTGTATACCCACACCACCCTCCTAGAAGGGAGGTCACACGATGGATCTCAAGATGGTCCCCTTGGGCCTTTTGGCCTCGGACGCCATCTTACAGTAAACCGTCAAGATGACCAACACCAAGGAGAAGAGGCGGACACGTTACATGTTCTCAAGACCCTTTCGCAAACATGGTGTGGTCTCTCTCGCTACCTACATGCGCATCTATAAGAAGGGTGATATTGTTGACATAAAGGGCACGGGCACAATTCAGAAAGACATGCCCCACAAATGTTACCGTGGCAAGACAGGAAGGGTATATGACATTACCCAGCATGCTGTGGGCATTATTGTGAACAAGAAAGTTAAGGGCAAGATTCTGGCCAAGAGAATTAATGTGCGAATTGAGCATATTAAGCACTCAAAGAGCAGAGACAGCTTCTTGCAGCATGTGAAAGAAAAGGAAAGAAAGAAAAAAAGAAGGAAAGGAAAAGGGAATTTGGTTTGGACTAAAACGCCAGCCTGCTCCTCCAAGAGAAGCCCGCTTTGTGAGAAACAATGTCAAGGAGCCAGAGCTGCTGGAACCAATTCCATATGAGTTTATGGCATAGTGTACGTGAACAAAATAAAATACCATGTTGAGGACTTGAAAAAAAATATGTCATGGCTGAACAGAGATTTGAACCTGGATCGCCCAAGCCCAACACTATTTTCTGCTTCATCACCCAGCTACCAACAAGTGTTTCTCCACTCCCACCATGTCCCTTGGAAGACACGAAGCTGCCACAACACTGGACCTTCTAGGTCTGAATTGTCTTCAGGATTTCAGGCAGAAGTCTCTAAGCCTACCTGGAAATGCCAGGGACTTTCTAAATGCCAAGCAGACACTCTGCCATGGAGCTACAGCCCCGTTTGCCTATGTGGGCAGCAGATCACAGTTCAAGTGCCTCAGGTTTGAGCTCCTGTGATCAATTACAGCTCTCTCTCTCTCTCTCTCCCCCCCCCCCACCCCCAACATCCTTTAGCTTGGCTGGGCAACATTTGCAACTGCAGCTCAGCGATGCTCCTCCGCAATAGTTCCTTACCAAAGACAAAGTTATCAGGCCTGAATATCTGCCCAAAAGGGCCGGACCTGACCGAGTCCATGGTGCCAGGTTCCAGGTCGACCAAGACAGCTCTGGGCACATACTTGCCACCTGAATGGAGAGAAGGAAAAAGGCTTTTAGAAGTGTTTAAGAATCCGCCCTCCCAACAGATATACTAGCATTTAATCTGACCAGCTCATGTTGAGCAAATCACCCAGTTCAAAAGATGGGAGCACACTAGTGGGCTGGCTGGGACTGGTAGGGGTCGAAGTCCAGCAATACCTCCCCATGGTATGTGGTACCTAACAAGGCTCCCGGTGTCTACTCCAAGAGCTCACAGTGACAGCTCCTTGGGCAGCTTACAGGGCCTAGGTAGCTTCACTTCAGTAGCAGACCTGCCTCTAGGTCTTAACCATCCTCTGGGTTCTCCAACAAAGAGAAGAAATACTTTTGAGACACTTCTGCAGGGAGGGTTGCCACCACCACCATCCCACAAAAACCGCTAGGCCCCTTCTACAGAGATTTTGCAGCAATTCCAGAAACAGTTGGCGACAGCTGCCATAGGCTGTTATTCCCACACTCATTCCTCATCACAGTCCCATGCCAGGGACTGATCCCATGAAGAAAGCCAGGAGACTGTTCTGCGAGCCAGCAGATCCCATTTGCTGGTGACACCAGACTTACTGATTTAGTTCAGTCTAGGCACCTTCCATCTCAGTCCCCACCCTCAAGTCTATTATGATCCACACTTGGGATACATAGGGATAGAGAGATCAGGCGCCACTACGTCAACAGAAAAGGATTAGCTGGAGGTCATCTTATAGAATATAGCAAAGTGCTTTCATATGGGGGCTGGGGGAGAGAAAACAGCAGACCAAGGCTTAATTAGAAGAGACAACAGATCTGAGAGAGAGCTGCATCAACTGAATTTTAGTAAAGGCAAAAAGGTAGAGGACCCCTGGACGGTTAAGTCCAGTCAAGCTTGACTATGGGGTTGTGGTGCTCATCTCGCTTCTCAGGTCGAGGGAGCCAACGTTTGTCCACAGACAACTTTCCGGGTCATGTGGCCAGCATGACTAAACCGCTTCTGGCGCAACAGGACACCGTGATGGAAGCCAGGGCACATGGAAATGCCATTTACGTTCCCACCGCAGTGGTACCTATTTTTCTACTTGCACTGGCATGTTTTCGAACTGCTAGGTTGGCAGGAGCTGGGACAGAGCAACGGAAGCTCACCCTGTTGCGTGGATTCGAACTGTCGACTATAGCCTAGTCACAAATTGAACACAACCATATATAGGGCTCATCAAAGTAGGGTACAGCACCACAGAGATGCCACTCTGAACACTGTACTTCTGCTCTTAAAATAGCAAATGTTAGCCAGGAATTGGGAAAGTCAGGACTGTCACTTTATATGACAGAATGGGGAACCTGTGACTCTCCTGCAGTTGTGTGATTACAACTCCCACCCTGGGCTGTGCTGTCTGGGGCCAAGAAGACCTGGAATGCAGCAACATCTGGAAGGTCACAATTTCCCCATCCCTGATCTGTGAAAGGCAAGAGGGAGTGCAGAGAAAGTAGCTGATCATACAGAGGAGCTTGGGCAGCACGGAGGAGCGTGGAAAGAGACAAGGAAAGAATTCTGAACTGTGAAATGGAACAGCAGTGCTGCAGGAACAAACCTGAGGCCTCATTGTAGTAGACATTGATCCTCTCCAACTGCAAGTCGCTGTCTCCGTGGTAGGTGCCGGTGGGATCTATCCCGTGCTCATCACTGATGACTTCCCAGAACTGTAGCAGGTGAAAAAAGATAAGAAAAGGGGGATACAACATTAAGAGGAGTCATCTGACCAAACCCTTCTGAAAACCAGGTCTAGCCTGGCCTCTTGTGAGGCAGAGTAGCAAGTGGCAGATTTCAGGTGGCCTTTAAGACACTTCTGTACCTTTTAGTTCTCATTCATTTCAGTGGGAACTGAGTGGGTTTCTTCCCAGTGCACAGGGCCCCTGTGCTAACACGGGGAGGAACATTTGGGTTTTACCACCTTGCGCACTGGAACAGAGAAGGGGGACCTGTGGCCCAACAGAGGTTGCTGGACTTTATCTCCCATCAGCCCCAGCCAGCAGGGCCAAAGAGTGGGGGCCGAGGGAAGCCGAGATACAACAGCATTTTGAAGGCACAGATTTCCCATCCCTGCAGCAGTTAAGCAGCTCCAGTCACACAAATGCCTCCCCTCATCAGTCTCACAGGCAGGCTATCATTGCAAGGGGATGAATTTCGTCCCAGCTGCAGTTAGCTGCCAGTAGTATCCATTGCAAGAGAGCAATGAACTCAGATACCTCCGAGGAGGGTAGGCTAGGTATCAGCATCACCCCCTACTTCAGATCATTTCACCAGTCGGCGTGTATTGGATTTGCTACCCATTATCTCAAGCAGCAGCCAATCGAGGGTATTGGTTGCTCTTCATTCAACAAGCCCTGACCTCCAAAGGAACTTGGGCAACAGAAGACATTCAGCTTTAGGGAGAAGCAAACTGACAAAGCAATTCAGCACACGGTGGTTTCCAAACGTTCTACTCTCTTTTTTATTTATATTTATATTTTTTTAACATATCATTTTCAAATTATTAAACATACTTTTACATCTTATACAATATTTTTGGACTTCCATCAATCACATCTGAAAATTTTCCCATCTAATCACTTAATATACATTTCTTACTTTCACTATTACCTTTAAATCTCATAACTAATCTCTCTTCTTTCTCTATTATGCAATATTTCGTATATTTTTCCTTACAAAACTTCTTGTAGTCCTTCTAACGTAATTTGTTGATTACAGTTGCTCTTCAAATAGTTCATATATTTTTTCCAATCTTCTGCCAATCTCTGGTCCCACAGGTTTCAAATCCTTCCTGTCATTTTATCTAGTTCTGCGTAGTCCATTAATTTTGTCTGCCATTCTACGTTCTACTCTCAAGGAATGCTTTCTACATAAGCTTGTCTGTCAGAGACCGCTTTGCAAAGAACAAGAAGGTTTGGGGAGAGGTTCTAGAAGGCGCACCCTTAGATTCTGCTTGCCCCGTGGATCAAATGTCTGCTCAGACACTCACTGGGTGACCCGGAGCCAATCCCCATTTCTCAGCCTATCCCACTCCTTAGAGGGATTTTCCAAGGGGAACATGGTGGCTGGAGATGGCAGTGAGGAACTAGGTATGTTCAATTCAGGGTGGTGGTTGGGCCTAGCGGGGCAGACTTGTGGCGTCACATGGGATCCCAAGCACACACCCGAACACTTCCCCAAAGCCTGAACACTGCACACTCAGTGACAGAGAGGAAAAGCTGCTGCTTTTCTTAAAGGAAGCACATCTTGAAGAGGACAACAGCAAGGAACAGGACAGATTTCACAGGCTTCCATCCAATAATTAACTTTGCTGCCTGCCACCACTTCCAAACCAGCTTTCCTAGCCACTCCTGTGTCACCTGGTCATGCAGGGAGGTGTATGGTATAGCCCTCATGAGATTGCAGCACTACTAGAATGGGAAGGCGTTCCTTTGAAGGGCCCCCAACAAAGTATCCTTGCATGTAGAAGTCTAGTACGCCAAGAAGGATGCTTCTAGAATTGTTTGTCTCCTTCACAAGTTAGGCTTCTACCTGCAAGAGACTCTTGATATGGAAACACTTCCAAACAACCACCCATATGTATTTTGAAAATGATACAGCCTGACTATAGAGAGGGACCAAAGCACAGCATGCAGAAGGTGCCGGGTTCAATTCCTGGCACCTCCCAGCATATAGCTGGGTGAGAGCCCTGTCCAAAACACTGGAGAACTACAGTCCGTCAGCGCTGCTGATGGTCTGACAAAGTATGAGGCAGCTTCCTGTTCCCCTGTATACCACATTCTTCCCTGAGTGTTTGGACCGAATGTTGGGAGCATCGGAGCTGCCTATAAGTGCATCTGCTTGAGAGAGAGACCTGAGGCCGTACAAATATTATTAGCACAGCATTGGAAATGTGTCTCAGCTAAAGACTGGCAAGTTAAATTAATGGAATATGCTGAAATGGCAAAATTGACAATGAAACTAAGAGGAAGAGACAATAACAAATTTAAGGAAGATTGGAAGGAGTTTATTGCATATATTCAAAAGCAATGTACTCAGGTTAATACATTGGCAGGGTTTTAATACTACTTGTAATTTAACTTTGAATGGATAATAAGTAATAAAATGGTTTGTAACTTTACAGTGGACATGCAGTACATTGATAAACAATGGAACCAAGGAAGGGACGAGGGGGAAGTTATTTTGTTTTGGTTTGACCCTGTTTTATTTTTGAAAAATTAATAAAATGTTATAAAAAGAGAGAGACCTGAACATGGGCGAGCGGCCACCAATAATGTCGTGTGTCTCTCTGTGTGTGTGTTTTGTTTTTCCCATTAGGCAGACACATTGTATTGCTAAGTAACACGTACAATGAACTATAGCAACAGAGTAACATAACACACAACACACACACAGCCTCGTGTTATATTTTAGATACATGATTTGACTGCAGAAACCACACCCGTGATTTAACACTGCAACTAAGGAAGCAACCCCATTGTGGAAACTCAACAAGTTGTCATTTGAACTGAGGGATCAGGTCACCACCATCTGGTACCAACGCAACCGCTTCACAAAGCCCATTCACTGTGTCATGAGGAGCCACCCAGGTGTGCAAGTCAGCTGTGATCCCCCAAGGAGCCAATTAGAAAAGGGGTTGCACACGTTGGCTCCATGCACTTCCTGCTCAGCATGAGCTTGAGCTTGCAAGATTTTTGAGGCTGGGAATAGGTGCGACCTGTTAGAGCCCTGAACACATTTTAAGTCGGTTGCATGGCAGGGATGTGGAACCAATGGCCCTCAAGTTTTGGATCACAATTCCCACCAGTCAACTGCTGGGGATAACATCTGGCGAGCCACAGGTCCCCATTCCCCAGTCTTAGGAGAAAGTGAGAAACCATTACTATTGCACTGAATCCTTTTAAGAAACGACATCGCAGCCAGGGCCAGATTTAGGTTTGATGAGGCCCTAAGCTACTGAAGGTAATGGGGCCCTTTACATGTTCAGCGGTCCTTTGTCAACAACAAATTGTCGCTGTATTTTTGTGTTGAATATATGCTATATGGCAATTTATGGACCTAATAGGTATCTAAAGTCATTTGCACATGTTGCCACGCAACTAGTCCATGCAGAATGTAGGAACCCTATATATAGAAATGAGCAAACCAGTGATATTTTAGAGAGCAGGCTAACAGGCGGGGCCCATTACTTACATCATAGGAGCCTACACAACACAAAACACTGTTGCTGTATATAAAGTAAAGGTAAAGGGACCCCTGACCATTAGGTCCAGTCGTGACTGACTCTGGGGTTGCGGCACTCATCTCGCTTTATTGGCTGAGGGAGCCGGCGTACAGCTTCCGGGTCATGTGGCCAGCATGACTAAGCCACTTCTGGCAAACCAGAGCAGCACACGGAAACGCCGTTTACCTTCCCGCCGGAAGGGTACCTATTTATCTACTTGCACTTTGACGTGCTTTCGAACTGCTAGGTTGGCAGGAGCAGGGACCGAGCAATGGGAGCTCACCCCGTCGTGGGGATTCGAACTGCTGACCTTCTGATCGGCAAGTTCTAGGCTCTGTGGTTTAACCCACAGCACCACCCACGTCCCTCTGTATGTTGCTGCGTTGTGCATTGCTGTATGTAGGTTTTATTTTATTTGTTTTTTATCTTATATTTTGGAAATGAACATCCAGGGTGTTTTCCCCCCTTTAAATATTTTGGGGTCCCCCAAGAGAGTGGGGCCCTAAGCTATAGCTTGTTTAGCTTATAAGTAACTTCGGCACTGGTCGCAGACCACTTCACTACAGAACCTGGTCATTTTTCAAAGGATATCCTCACTGCCGAGCCCATGGAAGACCTGCCTAAGAGTCTTCAAGGAAGCAATCATAATAATGAACTGTTTTACAGGCCTGTCCACAACACACACGGCGTTAAGGAACAGGGCATCCTTCCACGGCTCTCTACTTTTCCTTTTAGAAATTAAACATTGCCCCTGCCCTCCCTTGACATCAGTTTGTGCACAAAAAACATTTCAAAAAACATTTCAAACTTCCACAAGTTTCAAAGCAAGGTGGGTTGACATCCTGACAACTTGCAGCAGAGAAATACTGCAGTGACCTTCTCTAGCTCAGCTTAATGCTGTGGCTGCACTACAGCCAACAAGTGTGGGGGAAATCCCAGGAGAATGACCACTGCCAAGAAACTATGGATCCTGTCTCCAAATCCTAACTGGAATGAGCAAAGTAGGGTGGATGGAATGGTGAGTGGGAAATACTAACTAGGCAAGGAAAATACCTGTCCACTGTTTCAGGAGCTAAGTAAGAAAACACTTGTATTTTTTGAAATAGTGGAATTATGTATACTAGATGCCCAGAAGTTTGATACTGGGAATACAACCCAAACTCAGATATTCTGCTTTAATGGGGGAAGGCAGGTAAATCCAAGATATACAGGATTTGGGAGCATTCCTAGCTGCCCTTCAACAGTGGCACCCACCACATGAGGGTCACAGCATACACCTGATAAGAGACAGTCGACAAGGAGGCAAATGCGGGGGGGGCGGGGCGGAGAGCAGGTAAAAGGTCAGGCAAGAATTCACACCTAAGGCCACCTTTTTGTGGCATGTTCCCAGGCAACGGGTTCTCTGATAGGCTCTAGCTACCAGAGCAGCCAGATTTAATCAGAGGCAAAAGTGGTTCAGAAGTCAACAGGGATGGAGTGAGTGCTCTTTGCCACTCTTCAAGTCTGCTACTCATGTCCATCCAAATATTTCGGCACCAAAGGTTGAAAACTATTGATGAGGCACAAGCTCTAATGAAATGAATGGGAGCTGTGCAAGAGCACTGCTGGTTCATTTCAAAAGAGTTCCCCACTGATGCAGTGCTTTTTGATAGTGTCCTCTTACTAAGCCACTAACTATGTAGAGAAATCAACTGATGTACCAGTCCTAGGAAATCCACTGTTAAACTTGACATCTCAGTTCTGCTTTGGAAACAGACTAAGCTTTGGGATCTCTATTCACTATTTTCCTCCCCCCTTCTATCCCCACAAATTTTTGGCTTGGCTTATTTGTGGTTGCCATCAGCACCTCCCGTCCTTGAGTCCTGTGGCACACAGAGACCTTGGGAAATGAAGAGGTGTTTAGCGTCAGGATTTCACAGAAGCTGCAAGCAGAGCCTTGCTGCATCCACCTTCTGCAAAAGCCCAGCGGAAAGAGAGAGAAGCTACCCTCCTTTCTTTCCCAAAAATTCTCTTGGGCCTCCCGTGAAAGGGCAAAGGGTGGCAGCTGTCAGCAAGCAATTTGTAGAAACCAGGTTACCAAAGGGGCAGACGGGAACTGGCCAATGCTGGCATGCTACACTCTTAGCTGCAGTGATGGGGCGGTGGAGATAACGGGACCAACATGGCCCTGGGGTACCCAAGGTAGAGAAGGGAACCTGCGGCCGTCCAGATGCTGTTGGAGCCTCAACCCCCATCAGCCCCAGTTAGCACGACCAGTAGTTGGGGATTATGGGAGGCCAGCAATATCTGGAGGGCCACATGTTCCCCCCCCATCCTGACTTAAGGGACAAGCAGACTGTAAAGGGAAGTCTCAAAATTGTGCTGGCACCAGGTTCACAACAGGTGTTTAGATATATGGTAGCTGCAGAGACCAGGTGACTCCCACCCAACCTAGGGAGCATTGCAGTGGTATAAGACTGAACTGTGAACTACTAGGAAATCTCTTTGCCATGACTTCACTAAGTGGCTTAAACAAGTCTACACTCAATCTGTGCACCAAACAAAATAAAAAAATTCATTCCAGTAACACCTTACAGACCAACTAAGTTAGTTATTGGTATGAGCTTTCGTGTGCATGCACACTTCTTCAGATACCAATTTTGGCACACTTCTTCAGATACCTAAATTTTGGCACACTTCTTCAGATACCGAAAGCTCTGCAGACCTACCATACACAGTTGCTGCAACAACAATTACAACGAATGTGCTTTTTACACCCTGATATACTGTATTAATATTATGAAGACTACCTCTTCCCTTCTCAAGAGCTTGGGACAGAACCCCCTGGGCTCACACTTGCTCCCCAAAATTTCTCCCACTGCATGTTTGCCCTTCCCTTAGGCAGCAAAACCTGTGCTGGGAATAAGCTGTCATGACTTAAGTCTGAGAGGCTTAAAAGAGTAGATCTCCCCGGCAGAGCAGCCTACAAATAGGGAGCCCACTGCCTGAAATCATATCATACCCCCTCCCTCCTCCCCCTTGCAGACAGAGCACTGTGCACAGCTCTAAAATGGAGTCGCTCTGTCAGTCTGCTTTCCTCACACTGCTGCAGGAACCGCAGCCCTGTGAGTGGCAGATTCTATTTATACCCAATGCCTGTAAAAGCCCGAGGGTGGAGGAGAGCTTGAAGGAGAGTCCACAAGGGTGGACACAGACATTGGTGCACGCTTTAACACCACCTCTCTCTGTGCAAACACACATACACACAACCAAGAAAGCAGCCGGACCAGCAGGGAGAGGCAAGCGCTGCAGTCATAAATCCAGCAAGGAGAGCGAGGGGGCTTCTAGCCCAAGAGGCTGGTGTGCTGACAGCAAAGATGGCTGACAGGCTTCGACAGGCTGCAGGAAAAGGCTGGAACTTCACAGGCTCCAGTGACGTGTTCAAAGAGAACACACCCATTCTCCAGCACCCTGCCTGCACTCGCAACGGCCCTTTGAAACTTTGCTGCCATAAACGAGGGCCATGCCTTTCCCAGATTAGCGCTGGAACGCCTGGCTTTCCATTCTGCACTTGCTCCCCCAAACAAACAGCCAGTTCTAGCTGGCAGCTTCTTCTCCATGTGGCCGTGCCTTAGAATGAAGAGGGGCCTTCCATCTCGAGCAGGCAGCCACCTCCCATCTTGCGTGCTTCAGGCCAAGCCCATTCTTGTTTTAAAAAAAGTTACCACCCAATGGGAAGAGGTGAGCACGCAAGACTTCTCCCCAGGAGCCTTCTGCTGGAGCAGCAAGCCCCTGCACATTGAAAACCAGCCTGGGAGCACAGCTGCTGCCTTTGTTCTGCAGGAGGTACGTTATGTGAGGAGAGAGCAAGCCAGATCTCATTACCATAAAGGGTGAGGCTACTATTTAAGCCAGCTTGGCTCTGTGCAGAATCGCTCCTGAATGCCCTATGAGCACAGAGTGTGTGTGTGTGTGTGTGTGTGTAGAGGGGTAGGGAGACACATCAATGCAACTGCTGCTACAGCTGCATTGAGCCTAGAGGTCAAGATGAATCTGCTGTCCCAAGAATGCATCAATTCTACATGGGCACATGTTTGCGTTCATCCCAGCATGCTGAGCAGATAAGTCTTTGAGCTCTGGTTATTAATGCTTTCAGATCCTCACCAGGTTCAGCCATGAAAACCAGACAGATGTTTAAGGCAGGGAGGGAGAGAAGCTGATTTTTGTGTGTGTGTGTCAGAAGAGCTACAGCATAATCTTCAAAGGGCATTGCAGTAAAACAGCTGCCAGCCTAGTTCTGCAGCCATTCTTAGTGAGGAAAGTCACCAGGACTTGGGATAGCCATCTTGATGAGAGGCCTGGGCACATGGCCTGAGAAGCAATTGCCCTGGCACAATCTTCCCCTGGAGGGCTAACAAGTGAAGAAACTCTGGATGAGTCAAAGATTGATCCCTCCCTTGCCAATCTCTCAAATGGAAGAAAAGTGAGCTTTGCAATGGTGACTCAGGTCTGACTCTCATTTAAGTTATAAACTGGTGTCTGGGCCATACCATTTCTGATTGCAGGTGGGGGTGTGCCTGATGGAAAGCTTCTCCTTGTAGAAGACAAGGCCAGAGCCCTTCTCCCCATTTTTTAGCTTGCTGTGTGGAGAACTACTTTGCATGAAGAAGCTTTCAGTTATTTAAGCTTCTGCCTGCCATCCACCTGTTTTCTTAAAAAAAATCTTTTTTATTAAATATTTCTTAATTTACAAAAATACGTGCATTGTCTCTTTTTTCAAGTTGCGTTTTCTACAGATCAGCTTCATTTGTTGTGAGACACTGTTGCATACAGTGTTAGGTTAGGAAGAAAAGGGGGAAAGAGGGGGAGGGGTAATTATTCTACTTAGTGTTATGTGTGGGGTTTTGTGTCAGCGTCACCTGTGTGGGTTCTCTTACTATTCGCTTGTGGCATTTCTTCAGCAGTGAGAGAGGCTGGGGGTGACCTAGGGTGTAGTTGGTTGTCTTTGGTTGGCTGTAGTGAGATTTGTTTTGGTGTGTGAGTGGGGTATGTGCGTGTGTGCTTTAGTTAGACCTCAGCGTATCTTAATTAAGTCTACAAGGAAAGCTGGTTTAGCAGCAAGGACTCTCCCTCCTATGCATTTTCCTCATAAAGTAAATAAAAGCTTTGTAGAAAGGGAACTATCAGCAGCTCTCCCATGTGAGAACCTGAAGGCTCACCCACCTCTCCACAAATAAGTAACTCTTGCTTTTGATGGCAACCTTTGTGTTACCACTAACAAGGGTGGAGCCCTTCTGAGGGTCAGGGTGGAAAGGTGTGTTTCATTTCTAACCTACTTCCTCTCTCCATCTGAGAAAGGTGGGGAGGAATCCCTTTCTGAGGGTTTGGTAAGCCTGCAGTTTGTGGCTGCAGGTTAACAGTATCAATTCAGAGGGGTTGAAGGCAATTTGCAGTTGTGACAGAGATCTTCCAATGCTAAATGATGGGACTAGTTGGGCCCACTGCGTTCCTTTCAACCAAGTTCAGACCAAGACACGAGGGATGGTTAATTCCAATATACTTCTTCTGGAATAAAATCCTAAAGGTTATTAATGAACTGTTTAAAGTGAAGCTTTCAATAGACTTTAATTTCATGACAATGGGTATACTTGGGGAAACGGCTATAGAGAAAGGGGACCAGTTTACTTTCAAAGCTATGCTATTAGCTGGAAAGGCAACGATAGTTTTAGGTTGGAAAGATAGAGAGAAATGGACAGTAGAGGCATGGAATAGTTATTTGTTTGAACTAATTCAGTCAGACATTGTCGCAGTAACGTCACAGGAAACAACGTGGAAGGTCAAGTCCACCATGCTAAGGAACAGATGGAACTCCAATGGATAGAAACTACTGGAACAAAAGACATTCGGTGGAAACTAAAGAGGCTATGCCCGTGGCTGAGGATAATTGGTTGAACCCTTCCAATGGATATGGGGGGTGGGAAGGGAGGGGAAGGAAAAATTGTACGGGAAATTTAAAAATTGGAAGGAGATAATATAATGTATGTAAAAATCCCAAAATAATAATTAAAAATAAATAAATTCCAATATACTTCTGGCCATAATGGAGGTTGTCATGACACAGATCAACAAACATCTCCCTTCAAGCACCATGGGAACTGACCTAAGTAAACAACCAAACAGAACAGGCAATTTTAGGTGTGCTAATTTAGCCCAATAAGCATACCCAAAGGGTGCCCATCCTACACTGCATGGAAACCTGGTGCTATCCAGATGTTGTTTGACTACAACCACCATCGCCTCTGACCACTGGCCCGGCTGGCCGTGACTGATGGAGGTGAAGAGTCCGGGGGGCCCTAAGTTTCCCCATCCCTGGACATCCCTCCCCCTGTTGGGGGAGGACAGAATGCCTTCTGTTTGATTCTGCTTTGCACCAGGCAGAGTCCTGACACAGTTCTCATTCCCCTGTTGCTGCACAGCGTCCGCACCGCAGTGTGCTTGGCACATGTTGATCCTGCTGCATTCTCACGCAGCATTATACAGCATGTTCGGGTTCCGTCTGCATCCATGTTAGGGAGGGAGAATCTTGCGCCACGCGTTCCTTTGGGAAACGTCTCCAGGCTTCCCAGTGCTGTTCCACTAAACTGGACGAAGCCAAAAAGTCGCCTTGATCATCATTTGGAGGAAAGGAGGGAGATCGATGAAGCGATCAAATAAAAAAGACACCTCTCTTCAACGGCTGGGTGGCAGCAGGGAAGCTCGGCCAAGCCTCGCCCTCCCTCCAGACCTAACCAGACTGCGCCAAAATCTCACGGAGGAGGGAAGAGGGTGTCTAGCCTTCCACCAGCGACGGAGAGCCCCGCCTGGGAATCCGTCTGCGGCGCAGGAGAGGAAGGGGGCGAAGATCCCGGAGGAGATCGCCCCCCTCCAGATGCCTTCGTAAGCGGCTAAGGGCGGAAGCCATGTTGGCGGCCGCAATGCAGAGATCCGCAGCCCCGCCACACACACACGCGCGCGCGCGCGGGAAAACAAGGCGCGCAAAGGCAGCGCCAGACGCGCGAATCGGGGATCGGTTGGGCGCAACCGAGGCAGCCGCTCTCTCCGTGGCGCACGGAGCCAAGCGCTTCGTCATCGTTCCCGGGTTCCCACCCTGCGCTCCAGGCACGATCCGGCAAGGAGCCGCCACCGGGAAGCCGCCAAGCTACAATTCCCCACGGGGGTCGGGGTAGGGGGCAGGGAAAACTGGAGGACCCCCCACCAGATTTAAGTTTTCTTTACCCCCACCCCCCCGCATGGCGCGCGCCAGGCCGCCCAGGAAAAAGGCGCCGAGATCGTGGAAGAGGAGACCAGCCGATGCGCCTCCGCCCAGCTGGGAAGGGGGCGAAGGGTCCGAGCGCCCTTTTCGGGGGGTCCGTCCGCCCGCCCCGAGAGCCAGGAGGCCCCATGGCCGGGGGGGGCGGCAATCGGAACCTGGCCCTAGTTCCCCCACCCCCGGGTCCCCGTGCCCCTGCCCCGTGCCCTAACCTTGGCCCCGATCTGGTTGCCGCACTGGCCGGCCTGCAGGTGCACGATCTCCCTCATGGTCTTGTGGCGGTGGCTGGGCGCTGCGCAGGGACTCCGATCCTCGTCTCGCCGCTCCTTCGCGCTTCTCTCCCTCTGGCCGCTGCGCTCGCGCGCCTTAAATGGGGCCCGGCGGGGAAGGGAAGGGCAGGCGCCCGTCACTGCGCATGGGCCGAAGCTGCCCGACGACGCAGCCTCCGCCGCCGCCGATCCTCCCCGCCTCCCTCGCCTGTCAGCCCGCCCGGCTGCGGCCGCGTTACCAAGACGCCCGAGCGCTTGGCCTCTTCGGTGTCCTGGCCTGGTGCGTCCTGTAATTCTACTCAATACTGATCCAGAGCAGAATTCCCAACGTATAGTTAGCAGAGCAAATACTTAAACACGTTGCGGGATCCCCCCAAAATAGACCAGAGGCAATTGTATTTCATCCAGCAGAGCAATGGTCACAAATCCAATACATTCAGGACTGGCACTGTCCATAAGAAATCCAGTTGCTGCAGAATTAACTTAAACTTACAACAACTTATAAGAAGACCAAGCTTTAACACTTAGCATACTATCTACAGAACATCACACAGAAGGAAAGAGAGGTAGAAAGAAAGTGAATCCCAGGCTCCTTCTGGCCTATTATTACAGTCTTAGTAAATGAATAAATGCTCAAGTCAAGAAAGAACTTAGCATATGAAGTTGAATGTTTATAAATATATCAAAACCGTGAGAGAGAACTTACTGAAGAAGCCCGAGACACTTCATAGGCAAAACAGGTGACAAACGCCGGCACCCTGTCTAACTCTTGTGTGTAACATCACCGACTCTTTGCTTGATCAAACTTATCCTCGTTGATATCTAACCCTTGAGCGCCACATCGCCGACACTTCGTTTGATCAAACTTACTTTTGTTGATTATCTACAGGAGCCTGGCTAAAGGAACTTTAAAGACTGAATTTTCCTTTTGGACACAATTTGAATGAGTTTTCTGTTTGTGGCTTCTGTAGTAGATCTTGTACATAGCTCTCTCAATTTTTGGATTATTAATATAAGATTTAGAACATAGAATGGTTTGGTAGTGTTCTGTGTGCCGCTTATGTGCTGTTTACTTTATACTGGTCTGCTATTATTACAGTCAGCATGACCTTGACGGAAGAGGTAACACGACCAGTTTAAGCCAGCTGTATTTACTCAGCTTCTCTGAAGGAATAACCCAAACATCATGAACCTTCTGCTTGTTTCTTTCACACAGAGAAACTTCCAGAACCCTCTTGAATTAATTAGAATAGGAAAGATCTCTACACATCAGATCAATACTTTCTGCACTAAGAAATGCAAACTGACATGGTGTTGGGGCACTGGGGGGGGGCTAGGGGAGCAGGAAAAGCACCCCTGCTTGAGCTCAGAGGCGCTGCGATGCCAACTGCTGTTCCCTATGATATTTGAGGACGCACGGCATGAGCAGGATGCTGCCAAGATGCTGGACTTTGCCCACTGCGTTGGCCGTTCGAGAGGAAAAGACTTGTAATGGCAGTGACAGTCTAGGCCGCGCTCCTGAGCCGTGTTCTCCTGTGGGGAAAACGCACGCCTGTGGCTTGGGGGTCTGCAATGGGTGCTTAAAAATACACCAAGTTGCTTCCGGAGGCGGCGCCAACAGTAATGGCGATCTCCTCATAACTCTCGAGGAGAGGCTCCGCGAAAACTGGGTCGATCCGCTACGGCGCAGCGGAGACCCTTTCGAAACCCGCAGGCGGAGGAAGCCTGCGGTCGTGGGACTCGGCGGGTGCCTGGAGCGCGCCCCTAAACAGCGCAGGAACCCCGTAAGGGGCTCCGAAGCAGGACGGGGGCAGCGCGGCACTGTGAGTCGTCTGCTACTTTCGCGGAGTGAAGCCGTGCAGCTGTTGCTGGAGAGCGCTGACCTTTCTTCCTTGACAATTCGGCTGTCAAAGTACAACCCGTGAGTAGGTTTCACGCTATAAGGATTAACAAAAAGTTCTGAACTAATTTGGCTGAAGCGGGAACGGTGTAAAAAGGAAGTCCACCTCCCGGTCTGTATAAAGAATAAAGCAAAGACTGTGCGAGATCGATACCAACGACTGCCAAAAGAGACTGAAACACAGACTTCTAATTTAAAAGTTTCCCTCCCACAATTGGATTGGGGGGGGAAGAAGAGATAGTATTTCTTGTTATTCTCTGTTATTTTTGAGTAATTTAAAGAGCAAATAAGGAAATAAAAGACCACCTCTCAATCCCTGGGGACAGACTGCCAGGTTTTGGAAAGATTGGACACTTTGTTAGCACTCTAAATGGACAATGTATCTTTTTGCCTTTTAACTTTGCAAAATTGAAACTTTGGGAAAAAGTTTGGGAAAAAGTTGCCTCTTTGGCTGTTTGAGAGTTTTCATTCTTGATACTTTATTACTTGTGTCCCCCTGGAGGCCAAAGGGGAAAAAGTCTTTAATTGACTGAGGAATTTTCCACCTAACAGCAGCCTGGGAAAGTATAATAACAAAACAATTTTGACTGTGAGAGCGACCTTGACTTTTAGATAAAGTGCCATGGAAGGAAGAGATCTGAGGTCTGGGAAAGGCAGGCAGCAGAGCAACATCCCACAACAGCAACAGCGTAGGCAATCCATCGCTGGACCACAAGGAGAGGAAGAAGGATTGGCCAGTTTATTTAAAATTGTGAACGAAGGTTTTGAAAAATTGGGTCAACAAAATGCCGAGGCTCTAGAAGCTATTAGACAAAATTCTGCAAGTATTGACAAGTTGACCCGACAGACTAATGAAAATACAGATGTGATTAAAAAACTACTGGAACAATCTGCTGAAACTCAAAAAACAGCTTTGGAAGCCAGAGAAAAGGCGGTAGCTGCTGAAGAAAAACTACCACCTTTAATTAAACAAGTTCAAGAGCACCACATAAGATTGGGAACGCACCAGGAATTGTTATCTCTTCTTGAGTTAAAGGAGAAACAGACCAACTTAAGGATCAGAGCAGTACCTGAGATTGAAAAGAGAGCCTGGCAGACTTTCTGACGCAAGAATTTGCCAACTTTTGGCAATTGAATGATAAGGAAGATTTCAAGATAACGTCTGCTTTTAGGCTCGGAAGAAGAGCAAGGAAAAATAGAGTGAGAGACTGCCTGATTACCCTGCGATCAAAAGAGGAACGAGATAAAATTTTGAGCTTACATTATCAAAATACACTGACAATACAAGACTCAAGGATAGAAATATTTAAAGACATTCCAAAGCTTCTATTGGAGCTTAGGTCTAACTATCGAGACCTGGTGACGTTGCTGAGAGGAAACAGAATTTTTTTCAGGTGGGAGTTCCCTCAAGGCCTATCTTTCAGTTTTAGAGGCAAAAAATTAAAATTAAATCTGTGGAGGAGAAACAGAACTTTTGAGAGACTACCAAGAGGACCTACAAAAAGGATTGGAGCCAGAAGCCCCTTTAACAGGATTGGATCTTACATTACCACCGTTGGGAGAGGATAAGACAGAGAAGCCGAAACCACCAACAGAGGAAGAAGAGTTATTGGGAGCAGTTGGAGGGAAATAAAGAAACCATCATGGCTCTGCAACTTTTAACTTGGAATGTTTGTGGCCTGAATTCCCCGGAAAAAAGGAGGAAAGTATTTCATATACTTAAAAAGAACAATTGGACTTAATTTGTTTACAGGAAACCCATGTGATGAGGCTCCACAGGAAAATTTTGATTAATAAGAGACTGGGTCAAGAATTTATCTCATCAGACAAAGTTAAAAAACGAGGAGTGGTTATTTACGCAAAGGAGAGCCTCTCACCGAAATTTGTTTTTAAAGATGAACAAGGAAGGTTCATAGCAATTGAAATTCAAGTACAAGGAGAAAAATTTTTGATAGTAGGTGTATATGCACCAAATGAGGGGAAATCTATATTCTACAAAAAGTTGCATGAGACCTTGATGGACTATATGGACTATAATACTGTTTTCATGGGAGATATGAATGGGGTGGTTTCTACAAATATGGACAAGTCACAAAGAGAGGTAGTTACTAAAGATGGTAGACTACCGAAAACATTTTTGAACTAACTGACAATATGGATTTGATTGACATTTGGAGAACTAAGAACCCCCTTGATAGAGAAGGAACCTTTTTTTCTGAAGCCCAGAAGACATGGACAAGAATTGACCAAATCTGGACTACTAGAGGACTGGCACCCAAGGTTAAGAAGGTAGAGATCTGCCCAAAAACATGCTCCGACCATAACGCCGTGAGAATGGAGATGAAGTTAACACCTATTGGTTCCTTCCGATGGAGGATGAATGACACCTTGTTTAGAGATCAAGAGGTGATTAAGAAGGCCCAAAAGACATTGAGGGACTATTTTGAGATAAACTTGAATACAACTGTAGAAAAAGAGTAATCTGGGATGCAAGCAAAGCTGTTATGAGGGGCTTCCTGATTCAACAGAATTCAATTAAGAAGAAGGCCCAAAACGTAAAGAAAGAAAAATTTTTGGAAAAAATAAAGGAGGGCGAGAAGAAATTGAGAGTGAAGCCCAACTCACAAGAGATTCTGAGGGAAATAAAATTGTACCAAGTGCAATATATGAAATTGATAAATCAAGAAGTGGAATGGAAAATTAAGCAAATGAGACAAAAGACTTTTGAATCGGCAAATAAATGTGGGAAACTGCTGGCCTGGCAGTTGAAGAAGCGACAAAAACTTAATACTATTACTAATTTGGAAGTGGAAGGGAAAAATATCCAGAATCCAGAAGAAATTAGGAAATGCTTCCAGAGATATTTTAAACGACTATACACACAAGGGCCTCAGAAAGAATTTGAGATAGAGCAATTTTTGAAAACCAATGGATTACAAAAATTTCTCAGGACAACAAGATATTGTTGAACTATAAAATTACAGAACAGGAGGTTGAAGGTGCCATTCAGAATATGCAGTTGGGAAAATCTCCAGGACCGGATGGTTTAACCTCAAAATATTACAGAACTTTGAAAGACTGGTTAATTCGACCTTTAACTGAGGTTTGTAATGAAATTTTAGAGGGGAAAAGAGCGCCAGAGTCGTGGAAAGACGCATTTATTACACTTATACCAAAGGCTGAGATTGAAAAGACACAGCTTAAGAACTACCGGCCCATATCCCTGTTAAATGTGGATTACAAAATTTTTGCTGATATTTTAGCAAAAAGGCTTAAAAAGTGTTAAAAGGAGTGATTCATAAGGACCAAGCTG